TTTTTTTTCACCCGAGATAGTCAAAGTTGGGGAAGAAAATATCAAAAACTTAAAAATCGCAATATAGTCCTAATTTTATAATGGCCCCTTAATATATTTTAACCACATTGCATTTGAGTATGGAGAAGCAACTATCTGAAAGTATGTTACATAAAAAATTTACTAAGTATAGCCTTTTTTGTAGATGCAGTTAAATAAAATACATGAAAAGGCACGATTTTTCTTTAATTCAAAAAAATTTAAATATTTCAAAAACGGTGACACTTTTACCTGAAAATTTTTTGTTTATCAGAGAGCTCACCACCCCACCTGCCTTCTCCTCAAGTTTGGCACATTACTTCTGTGACACCCTGTATATTAGCAGCCGTACACACATACGTGGATATATGCATGCGTGTTTGAAAAATACTTATGTACGCCACACAACACACCAATTTCCCACCGTTGCCAGGCCCATCAAATTAAGAAACTTTTCCAGTGGGCATGCCAGCCGGTCGGTTAGTATTGCGGCTAAGTAGTAAGTATTAAATTCTTTTAGTTTATTTACAGCTTGAAAACATACATTTATACATACATAAATACTTACATACATATTACCGTTGTTTTGATGAGACATGGTGTGCCAAGTGAAAGTGGAAGAATGGTCAATTATTGCACTTTGAAATTGCACTGCAGTTGTTGGATTTCCTTCATTTCTAAATACATATGTATGTATAGATAGCTACAACAATTTTATGACTTGTGGTTGCAAGCTTTAACCACTTAAAAAGTTTTACTACTTTACTGAAAAATTGTTTGAAGTGTTAAAGCAGTGAAATACAAGGCTTAAAATTGTTGAAAACAAACCCATAAAAGCCTACATTTCAATTACACATATATGTTTGTAGCAGATATAATTTAGTAGGAATGTCGGTATGGCTCACAGTGGGATTTCGGCGGAAAAAACCTAGTTTTTTGAACATTCAGTTCTTACTTTTAGATGGTTTATCCTTATAAAGGCCCGTGTTAATTTCTCAAGAAAAATAATAAGAAATATTTTTCATTATTTCTGTTGTTAGGAAAAGTACTTAGCGATTTTTGAAAAAAATTTTGAAGAAATAAATCCATTCCCTGTCCATAATTTCCATTTCTTGTGCGTCATTTTATATGAATTTTTAGTTTTTCTTGAGAGCTGCAGGCAGGCGTTAAAGTAATATTTGTATAAGAAAAATTCATTAAAACCTTTTACGAATTTGACAATTTTATACCAACTAAAACTTATTGAGGCCTCCCAGTAGCGAAAATGGTAACTGGTGACATTTTCACTAATGAGAATTTAGTGACATCGTCGTCTGTGGATCTTAAACGACATATAACAGACAATGACACTGGTGACAATGTCATGCAGGTGTACTCCTATCAAAGTGAACAACTTTAAGTGGATCTCAGAGCTCCAACTATTGCCTATGAATTAAAATGGTTTGGTGCCTTGCATAGTTGCGCCACCGTATACACATTGCATGCTATTGAAATTTTATTGCTATTTGAACAACAAAATTTAATGCAAACAAAATGCATGTAAAGAGCAACAGTCAATAGTTGCGTTCCCCAACTTTTCTGGATTAAAACCTGTAAAACTGTCAAAAGGCAAAAGAAGCCAGAGAACCGAGTACGGGAACGCTTTGTGGTGAATTCCTGCAAATTCTTGCAACTTCTTTCGAGTTAGGGAACGCAACTAATATATGTATATAAGTACTGTAACTTATATTTTCTCAAGCGTATGCTGGCTTTTAAAAGTCTATTTAATTTTTATACTGTTATCACTTGATCTCGCTCTCTCTCTCTCTCTCTCTCTTAACTCTGTTAAACATTTTTTGATTTTTTTTTTTTTGCAAAAAAACCTTTCACGACTAAGGCCGATCGGAATCTTTCTCAGCGCAAAGAGAGCTCTAATATATGTACATACATACGTATATACGCAAAGCCCAGGCTGCCATTCCTGGTGGAGCTAGGAACATCGGAGTTTTTTCGGTTTCTGTACTTCTGCCAGGAAAAAGCTTCTCATAAATAACCACCTGTCGTTTGGATTCGCCGTAAATTTTTAGGTCCCTCCCTTTGATGCACGCCCAAAACTGAAAAAGAAGCTTATGTTGTGTGTGGTTTTGTTTTTAGTACCCTCGTCTTTTTCAGAAATTTCCGCAAATCTTTGCAATTTTTTGTAGTTTTCGCTTTTCGTGGATCTGTCTCTATTTTTTCGAGACTTGAGGATTATTTCGGAACTTTTCCGGACTTTTTTATACTTTTCGAAATTCCTCGCGGACTTTTTTGGCATCCTACAGAATTTTTCAGAAATTTTTCCGGAGCATTGGGTTTTTCATTCAAATTTCAGGAATTACTTTTTTGGCCTTTCTGAATAAATCGGATCTTTTGGGCATTTTTTGTAGATTTTGTCAGTAAATTTTTTAAGCTTTTTAGGATTTCCATATATGGTTTTTGCACCTTTGGAACTCTTTCAGACCATAAATTTTTTTTTTTTCAGAAAATTTTCGCAATTAGGTGCTAGTAAAATTAAATTTTTTCGATCTATGTAAATTTTTTGGACATGTTGATTAATTCAGTACCTTTCCGGAATACTTTCTAATCTTCGGATTGGGATTTTTTTTGCGATCTTTCGGAATTTCGTGAAAATTGTTCAAGACCCTTCGGGTATTTGCAGAAAATGTTCGTAATCGTTTAGCGACATAAATTTTTTGAACCTTTTTATATTTTTTAGGGAGTTACGTATTATTTTGGAACATTTTTGGAAGTTTTTGTACTAATCGCAATTTTAGTTTGCCTTTGTGATTTTTTTTGTGCTCCTACAAAATTTTTTGACATTTTTTTTTTGAACATCGGGGTTTTCGGAAATTTCGGAAATTTTGGTAAGTAAAATTTTATGGACCTTCTTTCTTATAATTTTCGCGCCATGTCAGATACATCGTGGACTTTTCGGGATTGTTCGTGTTTTAAAATTTTTTGGACTTTCGCGGATTCGTCCGGGATATTGTGGAATTTATCCCAAAATTTTTACGGGCCTATGGTTTTTTCAGAAATTTTCATGTTGTTTTCTTCCTTTTCGAGATATTTTTAGGATTTTTGGCACATTTAGTGATTTTCTTTGAGAGCTCTAAAATTTTGTCCTTAGTTTTTCGGAAATTAATTTAGGAAGTCTGCGATTTTTTTGACTTTTCCGGTGTTTTGGGGAGTTTTTCGAAACATACTTTATCTTTTCGGCATTTTTCTTGAATTTTAAATTTTTTTAAACAAATTTAAATTTTTAAAAATTAATTTGTTTGTGCATTAAAATATTAACCCAAAAAAAGGAAATCGGTGCTTGGAATGACCCTTTGCTTATATCAATATTTATGTATGTACATGTGCAAACATATACACACATTAGCGTAGGTTTTTACAGCGTTGACTTGCAAACCGCTGATATATTTCATTCACAGGGCTGATTATATTTTGTTTACATTCAAGAAGTACATACAAAAATAATATAAATAAATAAAGTATAACACTAAGTAGTATAAGAGAGCCTAAATGACAAACAATCTCAGATTTTGCACATTATTCGAGCGCAAGCTAAGCTCAAGCGACAGTCGCGTTTCAACATTTGCGAAAAACAAAACAAGCGAGGCGCGGATGAAGCACGAAAAAAAAAGAATTCAAACAAAATATTAATTAAAAAATTCAAGTTCATTAAAAGGCTATCTATTTAAGTTTTGATAACGAATGAAATTAGTCATTCATAAGAAGAAATTTCACAACGAATAAAGGTGTTATAGAAGAAAAGTGTTAATAGAAATCGAAGACATTTCCAATATACAAATAAATACATATATATAAAATTCTTAAATATATATATATAGTATATAACAGTATATACAATGTCACTTGGACCACACACACTGTTTACGCAATGTTCTTATTGTTGTTGCTGTTGCTGTAAATTGTTGCTGCTTTTATGGGTTGCTTGTACACTGCCCGCGCCAGTGGTCAGGGCAAGCCCGGCTTATCGCGGTATGAAGATAAAAAGCAAAAGCTATGTCCATAAACGGAGCACAAATTTCTGTGTTATTTAGCTTGTGCTTATGCTAGGCATACATACATATTTGTTTGTGCATTAATATTTTTAAATTTAAAACAAAAATTATTTTCACTTTTGCTTTTTTTTAATCTCATCTTATCACATACCCTTCATAAATATACCTATGCTTGTATAAACTTACGCGCAATAATCATCGATCTTTCAGCCAGCTACTACGACAGCAAATGCACTGACGCGGAGACCGGACGCGAGCTCTACATTGGCGAGGCCTTCACACGCCCGGGTCAATGCATACGGGTACAATGTTTAGGCACTCTACAGCTGTGGCAAGATAGGTATGTGTGTGAGCTTTTAAATTTTGTGTAATTTCTTTAAAAATTTATTTGATCTTTTCCAGGTGCCAAGTACCCAAATTGCAGGGCAATTGCAGTGCAGTGCCGCCTGCCAATGAATTTCTCAACTATCCACACTGCTGCCCGCTGTATACGTGTAAAACGTATGCGACCAACGAAATGGGTGAGACGGAGGAGATACGAACATATGACCAGTATGGTTCATTGAGAATGACAAATATATCGCAAGTGTTCAATGTTGATCCGGCCAAAGGAAGTATACCGGGTTCAGGTGTTATGAGACAGTTTGAAATTTGAGCGTAAAGCGGAGGATTTTTGGTACTACATACTTGCGAAAGCTCTTACTTGTATTCGATACTAAATATGTACTACTTGAGAAAGGGAGTAATTTTGAAAATTGAACTCAAAATGATATTCATGTTTAAAAATTTTAAGAATTTCTAATCATTAATGTAATATATTTCATATGTAAATACACACTTGTGGTAAGTAATATCAAGCAGAAGATATGGTTCGAATTTGTTGATATTAACTCAATTTCATCAAAATTATAGCGCGCTTACAATGTCAGCTTGAAGTTGGATGTGCTTTTCTTGAGTGTTTCTCTTTTTGTTTATCCACTTGAGGTGAAGTTTTTTTTGTTGTGGTCGAAGTTATAAGCTATATGTTTGCTTTATGTCATTAAGTAGCCGTAACTGCACTCTGAGCCGATATGTTAAGCAGAAGAACATTTCGAAAAAAAAAACATTCATTACAATTCCATCAGGAAATCAATTCTAGTTTTTCTACAGAGTAAGTAGATTATTCAGTAAACTCAAATTATGAATTTAGGTGCGGCTGACACTGCTATGCATAGAAACACAAAGGTCACGAGTTTAAGGTCATATCTATGAGCTTTCACTCCCTCTTTCTGAACCATTTTGAATCCTTAACGATACTCGTCAGGCACTTAAGGTTTAAATTTTCCACTTTCTGAAGGCCACTGAAGAAAGGAGGTCCCAGAAAGTGCAATACGCTCCGGACAGTTACAGAGAAGATGGATAACTCCTCTTCATACTTTTTGCAACTTCTGCGGGATCTCTGGTAAGGAATTCCGAGTCATTCAGCGTGGCCAAGTTTGCCAAAAATTCAAAAGGTCGTAGTTTGCATTCATCTCTCACTCGCGCGAGTTTAGATATATTCTCTTATAAGCAGCTTTCAAGTGGCGAAGGCCATATCAATAAGCTCTCTGCCCGGAAGAATCTGCTTGGTCGTGGGGGGAGCCGCCATCCTACGGTATACCCCTTGTCACATGTCTTGAAGCCGAGTTTCCGCCTGCGTTTGTCGTGATCACCCTGCATTATTAAGGGGAGCTAAGCTCAGACTACTTACCAATGTGCAAAGGTATGGGATGGTTTGCTTGAGCGAAGCGCTCGGAACCACGCCAAACGATGCTCTGTACGCTTTTTTAGATTTGCCAGGACAACAGATCAGACAGAAAAGTTTAGAAATTACATTTTTATGCTTTTTTCAGGGACCGTAACGATTATGCTTTTTTTTTAAAGAAGTCAAAAAATAATCGTTATTTTTTCACCCAAATGTTTTCAGTCAAAAAGAAAAGTTACAAATTGACTTTTATTTTTTTCGGTCAAAAATAATTTTATAAATTTTAACTTTTATATTTGACCGAAAAAATAAAAGTCAAGTTTGAACTTTTACTTTTGACTGAAATAATATCAAAATAACGGTTAATTGCTGACTTTTTTAAAAATATAAAAAAAAAATAAATCATATAGAATTAACATTGCTTGGCTCACAAGCATCACATTGCTATATATGTACAAATGTTAATAAGACCAATTCTTTCCGACTGACTTTTTGAATTGAAATTTTGAAAATAACTATTATTATCGTTCCCTGGTTTTTTGTTTTACTTAGTATGAAGCTTATTTTTATATAGAACTAGCGGAAAAAATTTAAAGAGAAAATTTTGCATATATGTATTGTGAAAAACTCTCTGTGCCAATACTTTTTGCCGTGAGTGTAAGTGAATTTTTTTAGAAGTTTGCCATTACCTACCGCGACCGTTGTTAAGAAAAAACCTGTTTTTTGTTTAATTTTCTTTTTATATATTGCTACACCCTGCTATCTTATCTGATATTATTATGTAGAAAGTTTAAAATAAACATGAAGCAATTTGAAAAATAGAAAATTGGCAATCTTTCATTTGCTCTTGCTACCCTACTGCGGTTCTTCTTTTAGTTTGTTTTTGCTTTTTTCCATTTTTCGAATCGTTATTTGCTCATTTGGTCAACGAAAATCTAATTACAAGAGAAATCCATTTCGCCTTGACATAAATTGTCTAGCATAATAAATCATTTGGGGCTAATCAAAAGTTAAACCACTGAGTGTAGAAACAGAAATGTCCAAAACTGGTATGAACCATTGCATGTATATGTATGTATGTGTATGTAAGTTCTTTAGGACGGATCAAAGTTGCTGCAAAAAGTATTAAAATTATGTCTAAAGAAAGAACTGCAATCGATAAAGAAGAAATTCAATGGTCGACAAAAATTTCTTATACTGAAATTCGCTTAAAGACTCACAGTAAAAATCATGAATGAAGTAATAAAAGATTAAGAAAATTCTGCGAAAAATTTACTTTCGCTTTTTACTCTTAGTAACCTCTTAGCACAAGTGGTTTTTATGAAATTTATTTTTCGCAAGCTAGCTTAACGTACTCCCTAATATACAAACACCAACCCGGCAAAATATGCCGAAGTATTTGGTGATATCCTCTACGTTACCAGACTTACAAAACAAACGAGATTTAAAATGTTGCACTGTGTTTTTTCTTTCTTTTTCGTTTGTAGATTTGATGCTTAGCCCACTTTCGGTCGTCCGTTTGCTTCGACTGTTTGTCCATTTTAAGCTGTGACCATTCAACCACACCAACATGGCAAAGCATTTCACAAAATCACCTTTTCTTCCTTATTACCAATTTTTTTTTTCTCCCTCGGCTTATTGGCCTTTTGAGAAGAATTTTTGCAAGCAAAAAGCTTGAACTCTCGAAATATTGCAATCAATTGCGGAACTAAGCCTTTGTGACAACAATTTTTTGACAACGACTTATATGATTATATTTATAAATTTAAATTTTATTTCAGTTCACTTCAAATATTGAGTGCTAATTGCCTTCTCTTTCAATTCATATTTGTAACGTTACCTTTATCGAAAACCTCAGTATCTTCCAATGCACTTCTATTTGGTATATAATTTAAAAGGCAGTCTCCAAACGAATGTGTTAAGCTTGATCAAACATCTGTTTCTACAGGGGTAAGCACTCGAAGTATTAGACGGTGCGTCAAAAAATAAATAAAAATAAAAAAATCTATAAAAACACGAAGGACTTTGTAGTTTCAATGATGCGATTACTTCCAAAGATTCAGTGCAGTGTAGATTACCAATATGAATGAAAGAGAAAATTCTGCAGAATATACACTCAGAAAAAAGAATTTCATTAAAACAAGAAAACAGTATCCTTATTTTAGAGTTACTATTTTTTCCTTAATACTACGAAAAATTTACTCAATTTGATGTGTATTTCCTTAAATCAGGTTCATGCTAAAAATACTTAATACTTAATGCAAGTAATAATTTACACAATAAAAGTAGTAATTTCCTTAATAATTTTGAATTTTGTCAGTGCTGTTAAGATAAAGTTAATTGCTTTCGTGGCAAATGTCGGTTGTAGCGTCGCGTGAAGACTACTGCTTCTGAGATCACAGGTTCGAGTCCAGCTGGAGGTGGTAACTGTAAGGTAAGTTAATTATTTCAATTTTAATATAAATTTCAAATTTTAAAATTAGTTTAATATATTGAAAAACCTAAATACTCAAGTACTATAAATAATAAATAAGATACATATTTTTGTTTATACAATTTAAAAAATTACAATTAAAAAAATAAATACAAAATAGAAAAAAAACTATTTAAAAAAAAGTGTCCTGCTCTGGGACTCGAACCTTGCATCTCTCGACAAGCGCTCTGAGCGCAACGAGCAAAATAACATAAATTTTCTCTTCACGGAGGATGAAATGGCAAGTAAACAGAGTCAAATTTTTTACTCACATAAGGGCAGCCATGTCATTGGAGCCATTTCAGGTTATTATGTCCTTCGAATAATAAACTTGTTTACTAGCATCTAGGAATACTTTTTCTGAGTGTAGAGATATATTCCAGTATTTTGAGGAAGCAATCCTTACTTTTCCTAGTCATAGACTTAGACATCTTAAATGATCTTAGATACAGTAATTTTTTATCTACATATATAAATATCTAGTATGACACCTAGGTCGTTACGATCTGGCCATATTCTTTATTATCCAGGTAACAATTTTGTTGCTAGTTTAAAAAACGAGATTAATTAAGTATAATTGAAGTGGAGTAAAAGCTCTTTCAAATATTGACATATGTTTGAATGAGCTTATTCTCTAATATACTTAAGTGTGTCTACTAAATAATAATCAGAAAAAATAATTCGAAAGCACTTATTACCTCTTATTAACTATGCTGATATTAGAATAACCTCTTGTCCATTTAAGTCGACGCCTTTTAATGCGCTTTGTTATCATTATTATGGCCAACAGCAATACCAACAATATAAGTACACTACATCAACATAATGCTACTGCACATACACACATACTACATACTATATACACCGCCCGATTACTACCGCTACTTTGCCCGAATGCCATGCTGCTCGTTCACCTTCGCCATTATCTAGAATGGATACTCATTTCTTTCTTTCAAGCAATCATGCCGCATGCAGTCAATGCCAATGGCAAACAATATAATGCGAAATAACACCTTTGCCCATACAAACACACACACACACACAAACGCACTCAATCTTTGCTCGTTCATGCTGTGTGTTTCATAGTGCGCCGCCTTCATCTTTTTAGCAACGCCATTATTGCTGTTGTCTGTTGCTTGCCGCCTGCCGCCTGCCACCTGCCGCTTGCCGCCTGCTGCATAGCTCCACGCTTTAGTTGTCCACATGCACACAACTTGCAATTGCTTTCATCTCTTTAGCTTTGTTTAGTATTCCAAGCGGTGCTTACTGCAAAATTTACGTGCAACAACAACATCCACGTTACAATAACAATAGCAATAATAAGCCGCACAATCTTTAGTTTGGCGCTGTGCAGGCAGCCACTGACAACAATATTAGCATGCAATCTTCTTTATAACGTTCAGTGTTGTTTGCGCGCAAGGTTAGCGGCTGCTGTTCAGTCGTTACCCTGCTGAGCGTGTTGCACGCCAACGTACGTACATATGTACATATAAAGCTGCAATGCGAGTAAGTATTTGAAATATAAAATATGTATGTATAATACAAATTTATATGGCAAAGAAGAAAGGATGCATAGGAAAAAATAAATAATACTCATAAAATATGTACGCCAGCAAGCGATGGGTTAATGCTTTGCATTTACCTATCCATTTTTTGCTTTTCTTTTTTT